GTCCTTGTCATATTGAAAAATGAGGGGTGATTATAACTACTCAGTAACTAAGGTCAATCTAGCCTATATAATTGTATATCAATTAATTATAGATGCAAATAACAGTAACAACTTTCACATTGTATATATTTTTCAAAAGGTTGCCACGAACATAATACTAACAACCATGTGGTCAGGCATAAATACAAATAATCTCATAACATGTAGAAATGACAACGCACATATGGGGTCATAATAATAACAACCATGTGCCCCTATCAAATCATGCTGGATTACAATAATAACAACCATGTGGCTGAAAATATAAAATGCGTAATCAATACCATCCTTATACCCTCCTGATAACTCTGACATGAAATCGATGGCTATTTAGTAGCTACATCCAAACTTGGACTAACCAAGCCATCCACTTGTGAGGAGTTGTTAGGTCAAAGCTATCTTATTCACTTGTGATCCACAGTTTTCCTCAATATTAACAACTATGGAATGTCATACCTCTAATCTAGCCCTCTTATGAACTAATAAAGACTAGTTAGGTTCGAGTCTTTCAAAGAACAAATGGGACAGGCCTTAATCAACCACAAGACAATGGCTATCTCTTGATTCTAATAGTCGACAGCTGGCTGACTTTTAGTTCCAACAGTAAGTCGCCATTACCACTTGGATTTAATACTATTCCTATCTCTAGGAAAATTCTTGCCATTTTGATCATGCCATAAACCAATCAACATGTAGTATGCAAACTCTTATAATATCTAGCATACGAATTCATTTTTGTCACAACATGCTCAATACAATACCAACATAACCGCACAACACATATAACTTCATTCTTAATCTCCTTTTCTTTCATTATGCCTAAGCATAGAAACATATCATTTTTATCATCACTAACATAATTTTCACACATATCACAAAGTCTTGCCGAAATTTTATGAGTTTCAAATCATTTTTTCTAACATATTAATTAATATACAAAGGCATAAACCAATTTTTTCTCAATTATCACAAACCTTTGAAAGGTCAAAGGTTTACTCCTCAAAACACAAACTCCAAAGCACCTCTAATGAGCCATTGAACCACCATTAATGGCCATTAAGCACCTCCAACAACTTTCATTATGACTAATTTTCAAACATTAATGTCCTTACCAACCAAAGACTAGTAAAATTATTAATAGTAGGTTTAAATAACCTAAACAACTCTCATGAATCCTATTTAAGTCAATAGGTTCAGATCCATAACTCATAGACAGAAAATCATTATTCCCACTCAACCCCTAACTCAACTCTTCAAGAAAATGAAGAAGAATGAAGGAAGGAGGTATAAGAGACTTACTCTTAGTGTTTGGAGGCTCCAAAACGTCTCCAAGTATCCTCAAACGTGAACCTTAGCATGGCTTGGTGAATGCTCTATGTTTTCTCCTGCCTTTCCTTCTGATTTCACGAACTGATGCAGACTAAATTCTGTAAATTTTTTACCATGTGTCATGAGGTCCTCCATCATTGGTTTCCATATGTGCACTATGGCAGATGTGTTATACGCCATGGCATATGGCACGAGAGCTTTTTTTTAGATTTTCTCCATTTTTGATGCTCAGGTGACTTGACTTTGCTTTGGGCCTAAATTTAGGGCTGAAACTACAATCAAAGCCACTCGTTTGACCTCTCTGGCCATATACCACATTAATATACTTAATTATCCTAATTAGACTTAGTTACTTGGGGTTAAATTCTAAAATGTTACATGTTTACACTACAAAGAACAACTAGTGCTACTTAAAGGGTCTTGTTGAATCCCATTGTTGCTCAAAGAATTTCATGATTCACATATAAGATGTCATTCAAGCTAATTAAGAACTTATAAGAGGCTGGCTAATATGGTATATTGGGAAGGCATGAAGAAGGACATTCAATAATATTTCTCTTAATGTGATATTTTTCAAAAAACTAAATATCAAGTACCCTCTCTTGTGGGGCTATTACAACCTCTACCCGTTTCTCAACAAATATGGGAGGATATTAGTATGGATTTTGTCACTGAGCTTCTAAAAATGATGATGTCATACCATTATGGTTGTTAAGGATTGATTCACTAAGTATACTCATTTTTTAACTCTATTGCATCTATTTACAGCCTAAGATATTGTTGTAAAATTTACAAATGAGATTGAAAAATTGCATGGTTTTCTAAAAACCATTGTTTTTAATAAAGATAGAGTTTTTATGAGTCAATTTTGGAGAGAATTGTTCAATAAAGTAGAGATTCGACTATACCTTATGTAACCTCCTCCTATATCCATTCAATATAGAAGAAGATCATGGTGTTACCCTGATCTCACATCATTTACAATTCTCAAATTTTATTTCAAAAGCTTCAGTTGAAGACTTGTTTTATAAAATTGATCAGTTCATAGCACAATTAGAGAAAAACACAGCGAAAGTAAATCATACACACCTCAATTACATAGTGAACATAACCCACCAACATTCCTATCTCAATTGCATGTAATTCAGCATACAAAATAGAACTAAGGTTTTGGTCTGTACGCCACAGCATGTAGCATAAAGCCACACGCTCGCCCTATTTATGTCGTGCGCTATGGCATGTGTCCCCATATGCCACGGTGCACCTGTCCAAATTTTTGTTGTTATTTTGATAGCAAAAATGACAAACTTCCGGCATGCGCCAATTTCTCATGCGACATCCGATTGGAGTGATTCAAGTGCCCACATAAAGCTTAGCTCATATACTAACTAATGAGATAGGTTTGGACACGATCTAGTGATTCAATCAAAATTTAAACACTCAGGTGTAAAAAGTCACTTTTTTTTTGAAATTTTTGCACACTCAAGCACTTAAATCGATCCCTTACTCTCATTAGACCACATTAGGCTTTGAACCAAGTTTAAAAGGATTTAATACACCTGATTGACCACAATTAATCAAATCATACTCATATATCAAAAATTGGGCCCTCTATGGCCAATTTTCAGAATTTATTAATTTGACATATTATGCTATTTCTCTGTATAACTTAGTCCACTTAGTTATTTCTCAACTCATATATATGCAGTCATATTCAAAATACAATCTTAGCCCTCAAATTACTCATTTCATCATAATTTATCCCTTAGCTTAAGATTCACCAACATAAATAACCATTTCAACATAAACATACTCAAATAAAAGCCCTTTTGTTTCAAGCAACACACATATACCTAATCAGGCTTGATTTCACAAAAACTCAATTCAATTCATGTATGAAACCTTATGGCAACTCATATACACTTGTATATACAATCTTTCAGATTAGTTCATTATACAACCTTAGAGTACACGGCTTCACAACTCAAGCCAGTCCAGACTCTCTTCCCTTATCCTGATCACATCCCGATCCTGTAAACATATAACTATAGGGGTGAGATAAAAATTTCAGTAATAGAATAACTTACGCTTATTAACTATGACATGCAACAATATGAAAGTAAACGTAATATATCATTAAAATCTCATAAAGTAGTATTTACATCACATATCACATTTCATTTTTAACTTTTCATCAATCCCAAAGGATTCCATATTATCTCAAGATATTTCATCATATCACATAAAATACTAGCATAATCTCTACCAATCAAACCTCAAAATCACCTCAACATAAAACCATAGGCTCATTTCAGACTAATGTATACTCTCATTAGTCTTGAGCTCACCTGCAGTGGTAAAATTACCTGGCTAAAGATGTTCTAACGCATAATACGGACTATGATTTTTCCCCAATACACATAATGGGACATCGTTGACTCCAACCCATATCACAAAGATACTAAGGAGTCTCTCATCTCCAACACAATACTTTAATAGGCACTAAGGAGATCTTTTCCAACACCACACTTTTCAAGGCACTAAAGAGAATTATTTCCAACACCGCACCCTAATAGGGTATTAAGAAAACCTTACCATATGATCTTTATCATCTCCTACACTCGGATGAACTCCTACCTCTCAAATCATGCTTTCTCAAACCATTTAAAGTTCCTTTTTATCATTTAACACTTTTTTGCACATTATATATACATAACACTTTACATTACAAAACACAATTTCAATACTCATTTCAACCAAAATTCATTTGACACACACACTCAATCAATGTTACAAAACATGCTCAATTCAAAATCATTCATACATTACATAGCATTTTTACTACTTAGGGCTATATTTATCCATAAACTCTTTTTCATTTATCCATTCTAAGTTCACAATTACCCAATTACTACTTTACATCACCTCGACCGGTCTTATTTCACTCAAGATAGATTTTTCTAACTTTCTCTCTCTAAAGGCCAAAATTGAGCCTCCGGGTTCAAAGCTCTACCGTTTAGCTCTAAACAGTCATAAGGCCTAATTTAACTTTCGAGAACCTTTTTAATACTATGGGACAAGAATTAAACCCCTCAAATTTTACTGATTTAATTTTTTTTATAACTCATTTTCAGAGAAATTTGTGTAAAATGGAAGGTAAAAGTTATACATAGCTTATCTAGCAAGTTACAAATCTGAATCACCTTCCACCACTCCAAAATGACTTAACCTAGCTCCTCAGCCCTTCTTCTCTCTCTCTATTTCATGTGTTTCTCAAATTCTCTCCTCTAAAGTTTCTAAAATAAATCAAGGCAAATTCTAGTCCATGTGCCACGGCGCATGCAGCACAAGCTGCGGCATGTGATACAGTGAGATTTATTCTCACCACACACACTTCAACTCAAAACACACTCCTATCACCCATATCTATTCATACAATACACAAACAAGTCAAAATACTAATGAATCATCGAATCTTTAACCCCACTTCAATTTTCACTTCACCCTCAATTAACCTCTAAACTTAAGGTTAATAAATTCAGGATGTTATACCTTAGCTCAACATATCATCCATAAATAGATGATCAAATTGAGGTGCTGAATTAAGGGCTTAAAACATATTTGCATTTCTTCACAAGTTAAAAACCCACTCAATGGGTTCAATAGTTAGGTTGAGTTGAATATTGGTACAATACCTTACATCATAATGTATTGGGAATGACACCCTTCAAGGCTATATATAGGTAAGATCCTCCTGTTTTCTGTAAACTTAGTGATAAACCATCATCAAGGATGTTAATGAGAAAATTTAGACCATAATCACATCATTACAATTTTGAAAGAGAACCTTAATTTGGGTCAACAATGAATGAAGTAACAAGCCAATAAGCATTGCCGTGATGTGCAGCTTAAGGTTGGTAACATGGTATATGGAAAAATTAGACCTTATATATTAAAGACTTTAGTTAAGTAATCCAATGAGAAGCTTAGCCCTTACTTTTATGGACCATTTAAGATCATCAAGAGGATTGGGGAGGTGGCATATAAGATGGAACTTCCTCCTACTGCCCGAATTCTTCCTTTTTTTTCATATTTCTCAACTCAAGAAGTCAATGTCCATAATTGCAGTGACTTTTACCATTCTAATAGCTCTTTCTGCTGAATGGGAATTGCAAGTTTAGCCTCAAGACATTTGTAAAGTTCACAAGCTCATAGATGACTAGCTGAAAGTGTTAGTCAAATGGAAGGAATTACATGAATTCAAGAACTTATGGGAAGATCTTGATGTTATCTTTAAGAAATTCCCTGATTCTCCATTTGAGGACAAGATAAGGTGAAGCTTTTAAGGGAGGGTAATGATAGACACTCTTTTATTACAAAGGCCCATAAGAAGAAACTTAAGAAGATGCAAGAAAAGGGAAAGCAACTTTATAATAGTTAGAATGTTAACCTTATTCTCCCTAATGTCAAAGAGAGAGCAATGCAAACTTAGTGTTGACTCTTGGTGGTCATAGGCCTATTTTAGCATAAAATAATATTGGAGTCTATGAAGTTTGTTTTTGAAATTATAGTACTTGTTGGTGTCTTTTGGTGAAGAGGGTGATATTTGTATTTTTGGTGGTGAGGAGAGACTAGCCTTTCAAAAGCTAGACGGCATGCTTAGTTTAGCATTGCCATTTTCTCAACGTTTAGCTATTATTCTAATTATTTGATATTACAACAGGGGATAGGGTATGGTTTGAATCAGTGGAGTCTCTTGTAATACTAGCTCTCTATTTTGGAAGCTTTAATATCAAACCTAAGGATTTCCCTATTGGTTATTTTCTGTCTTGTTAATTTTTCTACTTGAGAATCGAATATTCTCTTGGGTTGTAACAATCTATAAATTTCCTAATTGTTTTAGCATCATTTCATGTTTGAACTTTTTGGTTATTTGAATTTAACGATGTTGATTCTTCGTAAGTTGTTCTTTACATCAAATTTTGGTGGAACATTATGTCATTTGTCTTGTAGGCGCCAATTTGTTTTCCTATCAATACCATTGGAAGTAGGTAACGTATGTTGCATTATTACCTTATGAAACTTCCTTCTTAAAAATTTTAGAATACTAATTTGTTGAGTTGATGATGATTTGAATGTATTGAACTCACTCTGCTAGGTAAGATTGAAGTTAAAAGCTAACTTGACTAAGATAATGCTTATTGGGAGGCATGTTTTATCTTTGGTGATCCAGAAATATCCCTGCATTTTCATCTCTTTTCTGAAATATCAATACGGTATATTATTCAATATCTCAAATTGTATACCCGTTGCAGTCTTGTTTTGAGCTTAATCAACATTATGGCATTTAAATATCCCACCAGTATTTCTTTTACATTTAAACAAAGCCTTTGATGGACTAAGAGGGTAGGCAACCAGAATTGCTTTTAGATATGTTCCTGCATTGTAGGAAGTTGCATAGTATGGATTAAATGTTTTTATTCCATGTTGAGGATTTATGGACCTTGATAACTATTCAAATAATATTTTGAAGGACTATGAGCGATTGAAATTTAGCTATTGATGTGGTAGGATCACAATATCATTTGAAGATTTTATTTTTTTATTGTGATTTGCTAACATGCAACTTTAGCAAAAATGATATTAAGGTTCTTTGTAACTCTTAATAATTTGGCAAGGCATTTTAAGCATATAGAAGTACAGGAAAGCAAAATTATTGGCTCTCAGTTTCCTAGAGATTCTACCTTTCTGATTGATCTGGTCATTAGACTACAAAAATCTAATCTAAAGATCATAATAATAAATTTTGGAATTCAAGGAAGCAAGCGATTGGAAGTGGATATCAATTCCTCTTGAAATGATTGCATTTATTTCCTTATTTAGCGCATGAAGATGATGTAAAATGACTGTCGATGTTTCTGAGAGCCAAAAACTATCATAGCTTAAGGTGCTGATTTATGAAATTATCCATTAAAAAAAGCTTCATGAAATTATCTAGACATGAAGCTCTGTGAATAGAAATGGTTTCAAACAAGTATATGAACTTAAAAAAGTCAAAGGGAACTTCATTTTTGCATATCCATTCAAGATAATCTCTACTGTTAAAGCTGCATGTATTATCAGCAAATAAAATTCTATTGGCCTCAAGGAGTTAGCAAGCAATTTTTCATGGGCAACAAGCCATATGAAGAGCTTCATTTTTTCTAAAACATGTAATTTCCAAATGCACTTGCTCATGCTTGCTCTCCTTTTGCCCATTTCCTTATAGCTCTGCTTCTGATTTTTGTCTAACTTCAAACTATAGTAATATTTGGTCATTCTTTACATTCTTCATCTCTCTTCCTGTCATTTTCTGTCCCTTGCATCTTCCTATAGGAGTAAGTAATTTTTTATTCTTTTCGATACTTCACATCCTACCATTTTCATGCATTTATGCTGATCTTGAAAGTACCTTGAATCAATTGTTTTCGTTCATGTTGTGGTACTTTTGTTTGGTTCTAATTTTTGTCTAATGTAGATTTTTTGACAAAAAATTAGCTAGTTTGTGCACACATCTATGTGCTTTTGCGATAATGCTTTTCTTAGGAAAGTCAAAAGGTAGTTTGAAGAAAGCAAAGATACAATGTGCTTCCTTTCACTCTTGAGCTTCTTCAATGCCATGTTTTGTGAAATGAGCTATCTTTTTTGAGAACTTGGTGATTCATTGCCATTGATTAAAATAGTGATGCAAGAAATTGACAGTTATTGAGTTTGGCATAATGCGTTTAATGTCAGGGACAATAAATGGTGTTTAAAACAAATACTTGAATTACTTTATTAGTATCAGCAACAATGCTATTTAATGTTACAATGTAGTAAAAAAATTTTTGTATTTGAGGATATGCTGTAACCAAAAAATTTTTGTCCATGTGTGCTGACACTTTAAGATAGGGATCTCAAGCCTCAAGGAAACCAAGTGCAGTGGAGTCAAAGAACCATAGAGGAAAATTTTTTAGCAGTGTGGAATTCGCGGGAGCATTAGCCTTTTCCATTTATGTCCGCTGCTCTTCCCATGACTCTTCTATTTTCCTCATTTTTCCAAGAGCGTCCCATTTTCTTTTCTGATTTCATTCTAGTTTTGCAGCCCAAAGGTCCTTTCGCATTTCTTTGCAACCAGTTTGTATTCCTCCCTATTCCTCGTATCAGTCGTCAGGTTTATTCTTTTTCTCCTTTGAATCTCTCATCCATTTCTTAATGTTGGAATCATTATTTTATATTGCCTTATAGTTTCTTTACTATTAGATCGTTCTGTTCACTCTCCTTTCCTTGCAGTTCATATTCATATGTCTTCAATCCAGGCGACAGGTTTTCTTATACATTCTCTATTCTCTATTTCTTCACCCATTTATTTCATTCTATGCTCTCTGTTATGATATTCAATCGAGTTTCTCATTCTCTTTAACAAAGGTTCTTGGTTTTTTTATGGATCCCGATCATTTTGTTCCCTCTCCCAATCGTTTTAGATGGCGGTTCAAATTTGGTGCAAAGCGAGAAAGGGAGCAAGAGAGACAGTGGTATCTTTATTCTTCTTCTTCGCACAGCGGAACCCTAGCAAGCAACAAAGTGAGCGAGCCCTCTGGGGTGTTCGAAGATCTGTGTTTGGTCTAGGCAACATAGAGTCGAGAGTGGGAAGGTGGAACAAAGGATGAGTAGCAAAGGAGGAGACGATTGAAAGTTTTGGTGACAGTCCACATTGCTCATGGCGGTAGAGGGAAAATACATGGTTATTTTGGCCCAAACAAAAAAAGGGAAAATCTGTCCAAGATTTTAGTATTTGAAAATTCTTGATATATTTCCCATTTGTGCTCTTGTCCCTATATTTCTCTCTCTCTTTCTTTATTAGATCTATTGATATATCTTTCTTGATCTATTTGTGCTCTCCTTTTTTCTCAAGATTTGATCTTCAATTTTGTTTTAGATAAAATCTCATTGTTTTTTCATATTGATATTGATTGTCTTGCAGTATATCACAATTATCCAAGAGATGTAACTCTTCTAATTCCATCAAGTCAATTTAATTGAATTGTGAACCATGTACATATAATACTAGAGGAAATTTATTGTCTTTGATTCTATATGCTTGAGGAAAAACTGAAAAAAGATTAGCACTATAGTTCAGATAGTTTATCAAATGACAATTTCATTTTCTCTGCACTAGGTGTTGGTTCAACTTGGAGATATACTAGACCGAGGTGAGGATGAAATTGCTATCTTATCTTTGCTGCGGTCATTGAAGAAACAAGCAAGAGCAAAAGGTGGAGCTGTGTTTCAGGTTTGTGCCATGAACAAAATTAAATACTCGAGATAAGTTAGATAACAAGTCCATGCACTATATAGTATGTTTTCCTACTTTGTTATTACATTCATTGAAATGTGAATACAAGTTATTTATAAATTGTAAGAATTTGGATTTTATTCCCCTTTTCTGTTATATATCTTTGTTTAAGCAATTTTTCATTGATTAATCTGCAAATACTAATTATATGAGTTACTGCATTAGGAGTCTTTATATGATTCATACCCATATTTGCTTTTTAACAATCATCAAATACTAATTATATGTGATGATGTTATATGTTCCTCTATTAGTTGCTGCAATTTACAAATGCATATGACGGCTTTCTTGATATATTTCCTATTTGTGCTCTCGTCACTGCATATATATATATATATATATCTCTCTCTCTCTTTATTAAATCTACTGATATATCTTTCACACTTTTATAATTTGTATCTTTCACCCTTTCAATATTATACCTCTTCACTTGAAATAGTCTGGTTTACATTTTGTTAATACAGATGCTGAAATTGAATAGACGAGAATGTTAAGGGGATTTTTTTTGCAAAGTTACTATAGTTGTTGGAGTCCCTGCATGCAAGGACGGATGTTCTGCTTGCTAATGAAGAGCAGATTTAGTAGTTATTAATTTTAATTATTTTCAAACTTCTAAGCTTGTGAGAATTGAGTTCTATACTTTGTTTTCTGTTTCAGAGAGGTATAAAGAGGAAGAGCGTTGCCCAAGAGTTGTCATACTAAAACTCTACTGGTATTTTGTTGTTTGATCCACCTCTAACCAAACAGCAGCTTTGCACTTAGCACAATTTTGCAAATAATGGAAGCATGGGAAAACACTAGGGGATGGCAAACATTCTTTATCTGGTTAGATGATCATTTGTAGTACTAAAACTCAATGATTTTATGTCTTTACTTGAGAGTTTTCCACGAAACCTAATTCAGATGCATAGGTATTTGATTTATAATATGCTATCGACTTCAATGCCTAAAATGGAACTCTGTTTTGACTACAAGTGCCAATTCGGAAATGATTTATTTCTGTTTGGCCAATATCCATGGTGGGATCCATGGGAGAAGATTTACATAAGTGGAACCATTATATTTCTTTTCAAGTGCCTATTTAAGTACAGCTTTTTCAAACACTTTTTCTATTTTGGTCCACACTAAGTTAAGGGCTATCAAACCACGCTTATTTTTCACCTGTTGAGCGTTTTTTGGATTATTACTAATTTCCATACTTGAATGCTGCTAATTAGAGATTGATCATGCACGTGATGGAGATGTGTGCTTTGGAGTGCAAACTTGGGAAGTATATTGAACTTTTGGGGGAGTTTATCTTTACAAGTTCTATGGAGGAGATGCATAGTTATTCTTTCAATGTTATTATCATGGCCCAATACTTATTTTTGTCTATTTTTACTCATTTCCCATTACAAGTGAGAAACTGAGATTGGTCATTTGAGAAACAAAATTAGAAGATTGCAAAAGATCACCAATGGCGGACTCAAAAAAAGCGAAGCTAACTTGTGCATCTCCTGCCAACAATCCCTAGCATTCAAATGATTAAAATTAATACAGGGGATAGACAAACATTTAAAGTTGAGTAGGATGCTTTGTTTTGTCTGTTTTTACTCCAAGGATGTTTCAGGGTTCAACTTGCGAGTGCAATAAATCATTTTTACTCCAGAGTTGAGTAGCATGCGATCAGCGAAACAACAAAATTGATAGTACTACTTTTGCATAATTCCTTAATGTTTTATCAGCAGCTGGAAAGAGTTAAATAAATCTTCATATCTGCAAGTTTGTACTGTTGTGATAACTTGAAATCTAATAAGGAATTCATTTTTATTTTTTTAATCTTCAATTTTAGGAGCTATTATTTATGGATCATCCGATCTTTTGATCGTCCTTGTTTTTTTTTTTTTTTTTTGTTTGGTAAATTGATCGTCCTCCTTTAAATTATATTGTTATGCTTCTTCTTCTCTTAACTGAAGTTATTGATAGATTTGATCATTTGGACAGATAGAACTTGAGGAATTGAGATAGAACTTAATCATTTGGATAGATATTGTCGTGTTGGACAAATAGAACTTGATTAATATGTGATCAAATATTGATCATTTGGATTTGATCATATTAATCAGTTGCCAAAACCATCCATATTTGTAGATGAAAATTCATTGATCAGTAACTGTAGTCTGTTTCCTATATTAAAAAGTCAAGTTATTGTCTATGCTTTTTTGATTCTTGTCAAATTTCTCAAGGGCTTTTGCAAATTATCTTATGTTATAAGATCAAACCAAACAAACAATTTAATATTTATTACATTTTGCATTATAATCGATTTATTATATTTGTTAATAATGTGCTGTTAATAATAAATTTTTAAATTTTTAATAATAAATTTTTTATGTATCAATGTTAATCTATACTCTTAAATTTTTGAAAATTTAACCGATATTTTCTAAACACAAGTTTTTCTAACGGATCAATTTATCCAATTTCTTATAATAGATTATTGTATCATTTTTTATTCATGTGATGAACAAAGTTTAACACAAGAAATATATTAAGGGCATGTTTGGTTTTTATCTGTTTCACATTTAGAAAGTAAAATTTTACTTTTAGAAAGTTGAAAATTGTTTGGGAAAAATATTTTGTAAAAAAACATATTTTAAAAGTACATTCAAATAATAGTTAAAAATAAATTTCTGAAATGTAATTATTTAAAATTTTTAAAAAGTGAATTTGAAAAGTAAAATATTATTTGATCATATTACTTCAAATTTTATCTTTTATTCTTTTATTTAAAAAATATTTAATTCATTAAAAATATAATTATTATTTCAATAATAATAATCAGATGTCAATTTTTTAGCATTATAAATTGAGTAATTAATCATGTTAATTTTTATTACACATAATTTTTATTACATTTTTTAAAATTACAAATTAAAAAAACAAATAACTAGAGATCAAATTTTTAGCATTATAGATCAAAATTTATGTTATTCAAAATCTTTATCACATTTTTTAAATATATTACATTTGTATAATAAAAATTATAAATCATCATAAATCAAAATCCTTTTTTATAATTGTATATTCAAAAGCATATTTTATTATCACAAATCAAACAACTTTTAATATATCAAATTGACTTTTAAAAAAATGTATCCAAATATAAATTTCATTATAACGACTGACTTTCACTAAACTGATTTTTACCAAATAAATTTTTAACAAATTAAAAATTAAACACATACTAAATTTCTTGAAGGGGTAGTTGAATGTGAAACTCAAACATAAGAGTAGACGTATGTTAACATTTTTCTTTCAACAACTATAATTTTAGTCTTATGTTTACAAAATATTCCTTCCTTTTCGAGTTATAATATATTTAGATAAAATTATACATATGAATAAAACTCATTAAATATATTTTATAACTTTATTTTTTAAAAAACAAAAATATGGACATCTAAAAATATCTTTAATTTAATACTTCATTTATGAAATAATATTAAAGAAAGAAAATATAATTAAAAATGTAATATTGAAAAAGTATTATTAATAAAAAAAATTTATCCAAGTGTTTAATATTTTAAGACGTTGAATCTCTCCAAATGCGTTTTATGAATTGGGAGTAGTAAATTTCTAATCTCTTTGACACAAGAAATTCCTTCTTATCAAACTTGTGATAATTAATGGCTAATTAACACTTCCCTATGTGGAATTTGGAAAAGACGTCAGACTTAGCAGTTACAAATTAATGGGTTTTAAATAGTATTAAATCAATTGATACTTAATTTTTTATTTATAAGTATTGCCTTCCTAATTTGATAAATTTTCATTTTTATTAAGAATAGTTAATCCCTAATTGATTATTGATTATTACTTAAATAAGCTGATTGTACGATTACCTTCTTTACTCATACTTGTTTTTTCTTATGTTTAAATTCATTGTTTAATCATTCTGTGAAAATACAGAATAGTTTTTATTATATACAATAAAAAGATGTCAAAATAATAGCATTACAATCACATGCTATGACTAATTGGTATAATTTTATTGATCATGTTTCGCTAGGAAAATAGTGGACATTATTACTATAATTTTATCATCGATAACATCATCCCCATTAAAAAAAATGCCAATAATTAATTTTTCATTTGTTTTGTCATAACTAATTTTCTTAGACCTCTAATCAAGTCCAACAATCTGAAAAAATATTACTTACTCCTCTTAAAATATTAATATGTGTAAAAAATTTAACAAATGATTTCAATAACATACAACTTCTAACACAATTATAAAAAATGTAATAATATTCTATTAACTATTAACGATATTATTACATCCACACTATAACGGGATTAATAACTAGAATATTTATGTTCTTTTAATTAAAGCTGTATTCAAATAAATTCTTCTTATGTCTAATATATATGACAACTTCATTATTTTTTTTTTTTGAAATTTATTAATTTATTATCATTCAAAATTCATCATACTTTTATACGATGTCTAAATTGTACCATGCACAAGATTCAATGACCATTGTCGAGGAAGATGACGTCATGTTGGATGTGTGTGTCGCACAGGTTTGATTGATGATGGTCTAATATGAATGATCATACACCTAATGCAAGGGGTTTGGTTTAGAATCTAGACTCTTATTTTAAGATGACCAATAAACATGTTAGGTTATATCAACAACTCTACTTTTAATTTATTTGTAAGAATTATTATACTTCAAAGAGCATCTTTCACATTCTATTATACTCACTTCTAAATTCTAATAGATATAATTCTATAATTTTTAATTGTAGGTAATTTTTGTTTAAATTTTTCTCAAAAATATGGGTATGAACACAAAATCACACACACATATTTAAATTAATTGATATAATTTCATGGAATATCTTCCGGTAGCTAATTAGAAGACATTTTTATCATTTTTTTGTTAGCATCCCCCCCCCCCCAACATTACATGAAATATTTATTCCACATTATAACATGAGTGGTGATCAGAAAATCTATCTATTATTCCTTGACAAAACATATTCAATATAATTTGTTTGAAGAGAAATGAAGGTATGGTTAGACATATATGGGATTCTGAACACATGCTCAAGAGTTTAAACAAAACCCATATTATTCTCATTCCCAGGGGTGACAATACAACTACCTTTAAGGACCTCAGACCAATTAGTCTTTGCAATACTGCCTACAAAATTTTCGCAAAAACTCTTGGCCTCAGACTAAAGGAAATCATGCCAAAAATTGTCCACCCCCGTCAGAGTGCTTTCATCAAGGATAGACTGATTTCTGACAATGTGCTTCTTGCAGCTGATATTGTCAATCAAATTCATCATGCTTACAGAAGAAAAACAAAAATTGGTGCTCTAAAAGATTGATTTTGAAAAAGCTTTTGACAAGTTGTCCTGACATTTCCTAACAGCAGTTCTCCAGAAAATGAAGTTTCCGAAAAAATGGATTAATCTCATTTTTCAATGCATATCTACAGTGGAATATCAAATTCTTCTCAATGGAAACAGAACCAGTCCAATTTTTCCTTCTAGAGGCATCAGACAGGGAGATCCTTTGTCTCCATATCTCTACATTTTATCAGCTAACATTCTGTCTTGTCTCATTATTGAACAGGAAAAGCTTAAAAAGTGGAAAGGAATTCGAATATGTCAGAATGCTACTCCTGTCTCACACCTTCTTTATGCTGACGATTCTGTTTTTTTCTTTGAAATTACCAGATGCAATGTTAGTTGTGTTCAGAACGTTTTAAGAATAAATTGCACTCTATCGGGTCAGGATATCAACTATGAAAAATCAACTCTGGTCGTAAGTCCTAATACTATGACAGATTGGAGCACTGTTTTTGGTATCTCAATATCTGATTCCCTTGGGAAATATTTGGGTACTTATGTTGATAATGTGAAAGATAAATATGTCATCTACAAAAGTCTGTTAGATGCAATAGATAAAAGGTTAGCAAGTTGGAAAATCTCCATGCTATCTCAAGCCTCTCGATTGCAGCTAATCAAATCTGTCCTTTCTGCTTCTAACCTTTACCAGTTATCTTATGTAAAAATTCCAAAACACATTTTGTACCAAGTTGGATTCAAAGTGTGAGGATTTTTTCTGGGGTATATCAGATGGAAGAAAGAGAATGCACCTCACCAACCAATCAAAGCTTTTTTCGCCTATCAAAGAAGGAGGATTGGCACTCAAGAGAATTTCTCTAGTCAACCAAGCTCTTCTTGCAAAGCAAATCTGGAGACTTACAGAGGCTAAACAAGGTTCTATCATAGAATCAACCCTGAAGAAGAAATACATTGATCTTAACTCTTCCCTAGGAGTTAAAATACCTTAAAATTCTTCCTGGTTCTCGAGAAACATCCTTAGTTATGCACATATCATTTTTGATAGACTTAAATGGCAGGTTGGAACTGGTACTAGCATTCCTATCAATAGTCCTTTTTGGATTATTTCCAGACACCAACGAAAACCCTCAAATAATTGCTTACGGGTATCTGATCTATTGACAAAATCCAATAACCCTTTTTCAACCATTTCCTGGAATTCAAATCTCTCAAAATCCCTTCTAGTGACCAATTTTTACTCCAAACTTTCCCAGAACTCCTTTTCCTTTACAGGCATCAATTATAAATTAATTTGGACAGGAAATTCCTCAGGTTGCTACACTGTCAAGTCAGGGTTTCAAAACCTTCATCCATCAAATCCATCTGATTTTAATTGGAAGGCTTTATGGAAATTAAAGACCAAGCCTAGTTTTCTTCTTTTCACATGGAAGATGTTAAACAGGGCAATTCCATCACAGGATGTTCTCAATTCTCA